GCTCTGCCATCCAGCCAGTCCTCAATCCACCTCACTGATCACTCCTCTAACCCACACTTCCTGAGCTTCCCCATGAAGAGGTTATGGGAGATGGTGTTGAAAGCCTTGCTGAAGTCAAGGTAGACAACATCCATGGCTCTCCCCTCCTCCATCCAGTAAGTCATCCCATCCTAGAAGGCTATTAGGTTTATCAGACACGACTTCCCCTTGGTGAATCCATGCTGACTACTCCTGAGCACCTTCTTTTCCTTGACATGCCTAGAGATGGTCTCTAGGATGAGCTGCTCCATAACCTTTCCAGGGATGGAGGTGAGGCTGACTGGCCTGTAGTTTCCCAGGTTCCAGTTTCCTTCCTCTTGCCCTTTTTGAAGACTGGAGTGACACTGGCTTTCTTCCAGTCCTCTTGCACCTCCCCTGCTCTCCATGACCTCTCAAAGATGATGGAGAGCGGCTGAGCAATAACGCCTGCCAGTTCCCTCAGCACCTGTGGGTGCATCCCATCAGGGCCCATAGATTTATGGGTGTCTAGTTTGCCTAAATAATCTCTAACCCAATCCTCTTCAACCTGGGGAAAGTCTTCCTCTCTCCAGATTTTCTCTTTTGTGTCCAGGCTCTGTAGTTCATGGGGACTAGCCTTAGCAGTAAAGACTGAAGCAAAGGCAGCATTTAGTAACTCTGCCTTCTCTGCATCCTCCGTTACCAAGGCACCTGCCCCATTCAGCAGCAGACTAACATTTTCCCTAGTCTTCCTCTTGCTGCTGATATATTTGTAGAAGCTCTTCCTGTTGTTCCTATGCTAGAAGTTGTTCCTGTTGTTCCTATGCTCTTCCAGCATAGTAAATGTCTTTTAACAGAAGCAGTGGTGTATACATATCTATGACCACAAGTAGGAAATGAAACACTGGATAATCAATTTAACTCATGGATGGAGAAACTATTAACAGTGTATGTGAGGCTTCTCCAGCCTTTTCCTTTTTCCCCCCCTCACACACTGCTGTCCCTTCTCTGCCTGTTCTTTGTTTGTCTGCTGCAGGCCCATGTAGGAACAAAAAGAGTTCATGGGACACGTCTTCTCCCTCTTTAGTCTGTCAGCTGTCCCTTTTTGAAACATTCTATAGGGTTCATCCACCCAAGAATAACAAACACATATAGCACCAGCCTGTACCCCATACTAGGCTTACAGGTAGCTGTAAGATCCTTCACAACTGTGGTCAAAGGGAGTGCTCCCTGTCATCCACACTCTGTGTAACACCTCAAAATATAGTTTGCGATTCACAGACCCATTGGTCATTTTTTTCTGGTTCACATGGTCCTCTTGGGGAATCCCCTAGGGAGTTTCCTTTATTGTCCCCATGCACATGTTCTTCTGAAGTTGGTATTTTGTTCTGGCTTTCCATTTTTGTGTACGGTGTTGCCTGTGTCTTGCTGTCTGTGTCGGTGCAAAGCTGAAAGACTGCTCCAGGAATACATGCATAGTCATCCTGTTGGGCAGGAGCCTCTCATTCCAGATCATAGGATCAGTCTCTTCCTTGCGCGTGACAGTTTTTGCAAGGGAGCCCTTGGTGGGCCTCTTAGGAGAGGTCCCTAACCCTAAGGCATGCTCTAACTTGTTCATGTGTGCACCACCATCCTTTTGGCACCCCACGCCCCTACCCCCAGACATGTTAGGCCCATTCAGAAGCCTTGTAAAGTGGGGGGTGCCAAATCTGCCTTTTACTTTGGTTTAATTACTTTTTATTCACATTTAAATTTCATTTGCTCATTTTATTAGCTCTTATTAAATAATGCTTTACCCATTTTATGCCTATGCTTTTATAGGTTTCTATATATTTAGTGTATATATACACACGTATGAAAATATATGAAAGTGTATCTACATTGTGACCACAAGGTGGGAAAGGGAGGGTTGGATGCCAGTGTAGAGAGATACTTAAGGTTCCTGAGGGTTTAAACAGGAAAAATTTAATAAAGGATTGATTGACTTACTTACACTCCAAACTATGTGTGCAGAGGGTTCGCTGATGGGAGGCTGATGGATGTATGGGTCACCTCATATCCCAAGGGCCCCCTTTTATCTACTAGAACTATTTCCTTATCTCCACCGTGAGTGTCCTTATCAGGAGGAGACTAAATAATGTTAGATAGACCTAGAGGAATCTATGTAACAAAAGGGAGAGGAGTAAAAGGGAAAGAAGAATCTGAAAAAGGGAAAAAAAAAAAAAAAAAAAAAAAAGGAAAGGGGGGGAGGGGAGTCCCCCCCCACCTCT